TAATAAATATTTTTTATCAAGTAACTAGTTAATTTATACTAAGCAAATTGATTATTGAAATATTGGAATATATCTAAAATTATATGATTATATACTTATAAGTCTAAAAAATATTGATATAGAATATTTGTTTCATCTCAACACTCATATTGGAGTGCTATGCCGAATGCCACACGAAAATTTGTGAGTTGATTTTAAATATAATACTGTGGTGAATAAAAAAATCAGCTAGCAATAAGTCGAGGGAAACCTGGTCAGCTGATGCCTTTAAATAGTCAGTAAATGCTTCTGGCTAACTTCTACGTAACGACCTTCAAAGTATCAGCTGACGATTTTTCCACCGAGATACAGCCAGCTGACGTATATATTTATCAATTGTTACATATAAGCTATCATCTGGTAAATTTTTAACCGAGAGGATATCACTGAAAGTGAAGATTTTTTTCCCATGATCTAGCCATCAGCTGACGTACAATGCACTATGTTATAACCAGCTGACTTTTTTTTTTGGTTGAGGTATTGGGTTAGCTATAACTTGATAAACTTTTAGCCTAGAGGAAATGAGTGAATTTATTTTTTTTTTATTCAAGCGTGGGGGGTTACAATTACTCATCCCCCCCACTGTGCCGCAGCTGACGGTCATTGGGCTTTATGATACTATTGTCTGATGCGTATCGCCAATTATCTATCGAGAAGAAATAATTAACCAAATTTGCACCTGGCTCTTGGACTAATCTGTTTTACAATCTGAAAAGAAATAGCGTACCTAATCTGGAGATCTTTTGATAGGGCAACAAAAATCCTCATGTTGTCCTTAGTTTAATTGTAATAAACTTCGAGATTTTTCAGCGTACTCAATTAGACGTTGAATAGACCCAATGCTGGCCATAAGCTTCCACTCCACTCTTATGCGAGAGTAATTGTAAAAAAATATTTTTTGAGAATTTTAACGTCTACTAAATAGATTTTTTAAACTAATCGCCATGTCAGCCATATGTGTCTGTCGCTAAAGTCCTACATGAGCCATGTCAGATATACGAGTATATTTAGTAACATACGCAATTTGATAGAAAGAGAAGAGAAGTTTTAATATAATATATGGCCATATTAGTAAGTTCGGTATACGTTCAGTTTGGCCGGGACAGTCCCGAATATCCACCTCTTGCCCCGGGTTTTTCTAAAAGCTATATTTGTCCACGATTTTGATATTTTGTTCCAGATTGTCCTGGTTTTTTGAACACATAGGTTTAAATTGAATCTTTACAATTACATTACAACTACTGATCAAATATCTGAAAATGTTATATGCTTATATTGAACAATACGTTATTAGAATGAGAATATTTTCTAAAACAAAATTCCAAAAGCGGGTTAAAACAGCGATTTTCAATTTTATGGATATTACCAAAAATCGTGAGAACGATCTTTTTGACTGCCTGGCATAGATGCTATTTTTTTCAAAATAATTATGAATTTTATACTAAGTTTAAAAGCGAAAAAACATATAGATTCAAAATGAAAATATTCCTAACCCAAAGTCAGTGTTTCTGATTTTAAAAAAATATTAATTTAAGATTAACTAATTATAAACTATTAACTTCGACATTAAAAATAGTATTTTCTCAGGAATTGTGTCAAAAAATATTTTTTGGTACATTGTTTTCTTGATACAGATTTAACTAACTTCTCTAATGAAGTTACTAAGGTTCATATGAAATATTTTCTGTTATTATCGTGACGATTAAAGTGTTAATAAATATCTATGCAAAGAAATTGACGCAGCTCAGTATAAAATTAAAAATATTTCTGAGCTCATTGCCTTTTGGGCCAAGACTCTTTAGATCGGGCGGCTCTCTTGGATCGAGGGGCCTTCATGAATCGGAAGCCTTCTTGGATCGGCGGCCGTAGCAATTTACTCTATTACGCCACTGACATATACATACTTTGTCCAAATTTGAGATCAAGCTGTTCAGAAATGTTTTGAAACGTCGAGAAATCATAAAAGTAGCAAGTCGGATTCTCTGGCGAAAACATAAACTTCTTCTTCGGGAAGTTAATAAAATAATAATAAGTATTTGATAGAAACCGATAGAAATTTGAAAGCACAACCGAAACTTTCATGATACCCCTAGACAATATTAGAATATAATATATTCATATTATCATACCCTCACGGCTTGAGAGTATTATTAGAAATTTGAAAGCACAACCGAAACTTTCATGATACCCCTAGACAATATTAGAATATAATATATTCATATTATCATACCCTCACGGCTTGAGAGTATTATTTAAAAGATGAGTATAAATACAAGGTAAGAATGATAACATTCTAGATTCTCTCCCTACGAAGTAATGCCTAACGGCGGTTTCCGTAGAAAGCAGAGGCATTTTGAAAAACCTGGGACAAAACATCTAAAACCGGGACCAATACTGTTTTTTAAAAAAAAAGCAAGGCGAAAAATTGGGACTGTCCTGGCCAATCCGTCAACTATACCGCCCTCGTATAATACCGACTAAAACCTCCGCTTTGCCCTTGCCTCTGGTCACTACGGAAACCGCCGTTAGGAATTACTTCGTGGGGGGAGGATCTAGATCTAGGATGTTATCATTCTTAACTTCATTTTATACTCATCTTTAGAATTTTAAATTTTAAAAGATGAGTATAAATAAAGTTAAGAAATATAACATTCTAGATCCTCCCCCCCATCTTTTAAATTTCAAATTTTAAAAGATGAGTATAAATGAAGTTAAGAATGATAACATTTTAGATCCTCCCCCATCTTTTAAATTTTAAATTTTAAAAGATGAGTATAAAATGAAGTTAAGAATGATAACATTCTAGATCCTCCCCCATCTTTTAAATTTTAAATTTTAAAAGATAAGTATAAAATGAAGTTAAGAATGATAACATTCTAGATCCTCCCCCCACCAAGTAATACCTGGAGTAAGGTGAAATTATTTTTTTTGCATTAAATCCGGGATGGATTAGAATGTGTATGAGGGCAGGGGGAGAGGGGTTGTTGGCGAGCTAAAAACTTAATTATATATGCACCTTTTGTCAATTCAAATTTTAGCTAGTTGAAATATGTTTAAAAATATATTGGCAATTAAAACATTTTGAAAAATCCGGGACAAAACACCTAAAACTGGGAAAAATATTGCTTTTAGAAAAAGTCGGAACGCAAGGCGGAAAATCGGGACTGTCCCGGCCAATCCGGGACGTATGGTCACCTTACATTTCCTTCGCTATACAAAAAAAAAACAGCCTGAGAATCAACTATAGTTGAATACTACTATAGACCTTGAATACATATTATAAGGTATTACAATACATATTATAAAGTATATATTATAATACATATGTATTATAAGGTCTATAACCTAGACAATATTAGAATACTATGAGTATGGTCTATGAAGTCACGTGGAAATTTTTGACAGTTCAGGATGAAAACAAATGCATACGATTATCAAGCTACAGTTTACCTTTAATACTATTATTTAATACGCATAGAATGTATTAAATAAATAAAATATATAGAACTGTTACAAAGTTTGTAATAAAAATATTTTTCATAAATATTCAAATTAAAATTTATTCATAAATACTCACCATTTGTTTCAGATTGGATCAATAACAAAAGAAAGTTTAATCATAGTCAGTTTTCATTCGCTCCAAAAAAACACTTCACATTCACCATATTAAATACTTTACAATGTAATTATATATAGTAAAATTATTTTACGAGAATTAAAATTCATGATTGTTGAATGTTCGTTAAAAACACCCACAGAAGGCGTTCGAATTGTACAATAAAAGGTATAAATCGTCGATAACCTATAACCGTACCTAAGTTCATTCATGTGCGCGCAAGCCTTTACTCACGCAGCAACTGCCGGCAATTTTCAGAATTCGAGTAGGAATCTCTTTGAATCATTGTCGAATAACAAATTCATTATTCATTGGTAATGGTTATTAGAAACAATACAATTTTTGTTGCAAGTGAGAATATGTTCATTTGTTATCGATATTTATAAGAATGCTGTTTCACTATTGTTTATTTAAACGTCGCATAATTGTTTTTTTTTTTTTCTATGGTTAGGTGAACAGAAACTTCAATTGGCCTGGAGGTAATTATATATTTGTGAATTTGAAAGAGGCGTTTATACACCATGGAAAGTATTATTGACATTCTAATAAATGGTGATACAGAATCGATACAAGAGGTAATGCACATAACCACATGTTTTTAGATTGCTCTTAGTCATTTAAATAATTTTCAAAAACAGACTTTAATATATCTACTAGAACTTGTTTTTGAGATTTGAGCTTATGAATCTTATCAAAAAGCAAAAAAATGTAGTTCTTGAACATAACCTTAACACATTTGGATGTCGAACAATGTGTTCGAAGTACTAATGTAATGTAATGTAATAGCAATATAAGTTCCCTTTTGGTTTAATTTGTTAAACCAAGATATTTAAAGTAATACTTAATATGCATTAAGCATACTACTGAAATATTGAGTACAGAATAACTGTTAACATAGCTGCCTTAATAGTTTTAATTTAAAAATAAAAATCAGCTATAAATGCAGAAAGAAATTTGAAATTATTCATTCAAATCACTTTTATTGCATGCTATAATGATCTGTATTCATATTGTGCAACAATTATCTGATGATATTACTCATTAATAAATGATTTTCATTTCAAACATTTTAATTTGATTTATAAGTCAAATGGTTACTTCTACTTATTTATTTTATGTAATTAGGCAACTGTAAGGTTAACCGAATCCTTCAAAAACCTGAAGCAATACCAGCATTATGTCAAGTAGCAGTTTCATCGCAAAATCCACAATTTCGACAGTATGCTGGATATGGTATCTTTGTTTAAGATGAATTTTTTATATTATTTTATATTGATACAGTAAATTATTCTTTTTACAATAGGAACATTTTGAAACATAGATAATTTAATTATTGTATAATTCCATGAATTCAGATAGATTTCATTTTAAAAGTTTCATCTTATTAAACATAGATTAATATGAATTATTATCCAGTACAATATTATTACAAAAAAATTTATTAGTTAACTTATGAGTTAAGAAGCAGTAAAATTAAAACTGTTAATAACTGATAAATTAATAAATATCCAATATTTTTGTTATAGCGTTAAAAGCGGCATGCTCAATGCTGTTGTTAATGAGACTGAACATATGGTGAAGACTGCTATTGCCCAATTTATAGGAATTCTTGTCAAACATGAATTTCCTACAAATACTTGGCCAGAATTATTACAATTTATTCAACAACTCTGTGAAAGTGAGGCTGAAAACAATAAAGAATTAGGAATGTTCACCATATCCGTCATGGTTGACATGGCTCCTGGACAGTATATTCCACATATAAATGCTCTTTGTCAATTATGCTCAGCTCAATTAGAATCAATTCGACCAGAGTCAAATGTAACAATTCCACATTATGCATTGGTTACATTAACTAAATTGATACCAGTAGTTGAAGGACATGATGCAGTTAGTATTATACAACATATCTATTCTGTTTTCGTAACGTAAAAAATGAAAAGAATTTGCTGTTTCGCTGGTTTCTAACATTATCCTCAATTCCATTACTGTAACTATTAAAGCAAATTTTTTGTTTCACAATTATTAATGGTTAAAAAAAGCTAAAGAAATGTATTTAGTCTGCCTTTTAAACTTTAATTTAAAATATAATTCCAAAAGTAGATGGAAAAAAATGAGTTTAATAATTTCAGGCTATCAATGCATATAAAAACATGTTACCGGCCTGTCTGCAAGCATTGAGATTTCTAGCCGAGCGGGACTCTGCTAAATGTGTTATTGCAATGGAATTTCTTGATGACCTGGCAGAGACTGTTCCTGCAATTTTGGTACCACATATGCAGTTTGTCGTAGAACTATGCTTGCAGTTTGCTTCAAATCAACAACTTCAACCCGAATTGAGGGTTAAGGCAACCTCAATTATTGGTTGGCTTGTCCGAATTAAACGAAAGGTAATTTTCTTCTCTTTGGATAGAAATAATTTTTTTTACAAAATTAACTATTTAAACTTGTTAAATTCCTTATGGATTCTTTGTGAATGTTGAATATAAGATATTTATTATACTGTTTCAGAGCTTGATAAAACACCAATTAATTGGACCAATAGTTGATGTTCTATTCAAGCTTATGTCATCTCCACCTATTGATGACTCAGATGAAGACTACTTTGTGGATGATTCAGATAATGCAAACCCTTTGACCTGTGCAACTCAGACAATGGACAGTTTGGCTTTACATTTGCCTCCTGAAAAACTTCTACCCCATATAGTAAGTTTCATATAATTTGCATTGTTTAGCATATATATGTATATAATTTTATTATTACTAACAGACATTTTAATATTACTAATTATTTAATATGTTAACAATTTAAATCTTAATTTTGTAGCTTGGTCATGTTCAACCTGCACTACAAGGGGATAATCCATTTTGCCGAAGAGGAGCTTTCTTATGCTTAGCGGTCATTTCTGAAGGGTGCTCTGAAGCCATTCGTTCTAAGTATCTTCCCAATATGTTGAGATGCATTGGCCAAGGAGTCACTGATACAAACCCGGTTGTTAGAAATGCTGCTCTATTTGCTTTGGGGCAATTTTCTGAATATCTTCAGGTTTGTATATACATAAAGATAAAGTTCACATTATTCAATAATATATAATCACCAATTCTGTTATCAGCTTTTTTGATCTTACATAAAATGTTATGCGACTAATGTAAAACCTAATTTATAATAGAGACACAAGAGTTTTGAAAATTATAAGTGTTTGAAGAGTTTACTTAAGTAATTCAATTTCTTATTGCTTTGAGTTGATTAGATAATTAGACAATATTTTTTCAGCCTGATATAAGCCAATATGCATCTGATATTCTACCTGTTCTATTTGAGTTTCTTTCCCAATTATGTGCAACACTGCCAAACAATTCTGAACCACCAAGTATTGATAAAATGTTTTATGCCTTGGAAGTATTTTGTGAACATTTAGAAGATAGTTTAATTCCTTACTTGGACACATTCATGGAAAGGCTGTTTTTAGCATTGGATTTCAAAAATTCAGCTCATTTGAGAGAACTATCTCTGAGTGCAATTGCAGCTGCAGGTTAGTGAAATATGACTATTAAGATTCATGTAATTCAGTAATTTTTAATTCAATTTAATAAATATTTTATCAGCAAATGCTGCCAAAGGAGCTATGCTGCCCTACTTCCCTAGGATTGTTGAAGGTTTGAAGGTGTATCTTACAATGAAACCTGAGGATGAAACTTCTATATCTTTACAAGCTCAGGCGATAGGTAAAAAACTTTTATTTGCAGAACTTGAACTATGTTATGACTATTTCTTTTTCTACAGATACTTTTGGGGCACTAGCAAGAACGATAGGAAAAGATAATTTTATGCCTTTTGCTTCTGATTCACTGCAGCATGGTTTGACATTAGTTGAGCAAAATAATGATCCAAATTTACGTAGAAGTGTCTTTGGACTATTTGCTGCATTATCTACAGTTATGAATGACCAAATGGCACCAGCTTTGCCGAAAGTAGTGGAATTACTCATTGAAAGCATCAAAAGTAGTGAGGGAATTGTGGTAAGTATTACATTATATTTTTTATAATTTTATGAACTATTTATTATAAATAAACGTATGAGTTATTTAATTTATAAATTATTGGCAGCATTATTATGGAGAAGGTGAATCACTTTCAAAACTGCTTTCTGATGAAAACTTGGATAGTGCACTTAGCTATATAAGTACTCCGCAAAGTAAGTTAGCAGGATCATTTTTGAAACCAGTTTATTTTTGCTAATTATATGTTTTATACAATCCTTATTTACTGATTTTTTTAGGTATAAATTCTCTAAATCCAATGTTTTTTAAAACTCACTATTGTTCATTCGTTTAAATTTCATAAGATTGACATTCTCAAATTGAAGTTTTCCAATTGTAGGAAACAATTTTCACTTATATATATAAATTAAAAATTTTAAGAATGGCTGACATTCTTGATACGAAACCCTCGAATATTGAATTTAAGTTATACTCTATTTTATATTACTTAAAAAGGTTATTTTGTTAGATCCTCATTAATTTCTATCAATCCTTAAATAATCAATAAATATAAGATTTGTATTGAACATATTATTTACAATCACTAACTGGTTTCCTTCAGATTAATTCATGCTATTTAATTACAGCTTTTGTTTAATGGAAGCGGAGCAGACAAATATTGAAGATTTTAAATATTAAAATTTATTAAATTTTTATATTTAGTATTCTTTGTTGAAATTTTATTACAGCCGCATATTAAGGATGAGGAATGCGTTTTGGATGTGTATTCCGTTGAGGAATCGGACAGTGATGCTGAAGAAGATATTGAAAATTCTGAGGGCGAGGAGGATGATGAAGTCCTTGGTAAAATATGTGGAAAAAGGCTTATATATGTTACTGATACAATATGAGAATCTAACTTTCTTTAAACTTTTGCTGAGGGTTTCGTATGCTAATATTTTATGATTAATCAAGAGGATTATCAGCATTGTTTGTTCAATGAAAAGCATTATATTGCTTTCAATCTTGAATTTAATTTCAATTTTAAATCTCAGGATAGAAGTAGCAATTTAATAAACGTCTTACATATTTTTTAATACTGATGACAAATTCATACTGTATACTTGGTTTAACTAAAATTGTATTTAGCTGTGTTTGGCACTGTTTTGTCATTAGTTTTTTATGGCTTCAATAATGAAAAAAATAATTGCTTATTGAAAATAATTTAATCTATGAAGAGTCTTTAAACAGATATATGAAGCTGGAGTTTGATTTTAATCTCAATGTATAGTCAGTTTTCAACTATAGATGGAAAAATTTATTTATTTTAATCTTTTTTTAGTATGCTTTATAAACCTCGATATTTTTTTAGGCTGGAGTGTTGAAAATGACTACATTGATGAAAAAGAACAAGCGTGTCTAGCTCTTAAAGAAATTGCTGAATTTACTGGGTAATGAATTATATTAAATCGTAATACACAGGTATTTGTATTCAAAACCTAAATTATACTTTTATTTGATTTCCTGAATAGAGAGGCTTTCAATCCATATTTGGAAAGCAGTTTTGAAGAAATTTTCAAGCTAACCAACTACCCACAGGAAGATATTCGTAAAGCTGCCCTTTGTGCTCTAGGTCAATTTTGTGTTTCAATCTCTAAAACATTAACACCAGAGTCTAGAGCTGCGAAAGAGAAAGCTTTATCAGTTTTGATACCAAAATGTTCTGAAATTATAAGAACAGGTAAATTTACCAGTATACATCATAATGTTTTATTTTATTGATTCACAACTATATATGTTCATATTTCTTGTGTTCTTTATAGATAGTTTGCTGGTTTTAATGTGTGAAATTAAAAAAAAAAAATTTATTTTTGAACATAAGTTAAAACTTACTCCACTTTTCAAAATTTAGAAAAGTTAATATAAGAAAGTAGTACTTGTTCATTTTAATTGTATTTTTTTTTTACTTATAATTGATCTTTGTTTTAGATGAGGAGAAAACAGTTGTTATGGAAGCAGTAGAAACGTTTGATCAGATATTAGACAAAGTTGATCCTGAAACCAAAATTGCAGATATTCATCGAGATGCAATATTTAACTGTATTTTAGATATTTTCACAGGAAAGGTATATTTACAATATCTATTAAATATAATTCTAAACATATTACATAGTGCAAAACCAGAAATTTCTATTGAATATGAAAGCTGCTTTTAACAAATTGTAATTGAATTTTTTTCCATCCAATTAGTTTTTGGAATAGATTGTCTGAAAAGTTATTGAAGTTTGGAATATTTAAGTATATGAATTTAGCCATATAAATACCCAATTTAATAAATTTAAATTCTATTTATAGTAATTTACAATGTAAATTTTGATTTGATAGTTAATAATATTAGTAACTCTGACTAGTGTTTATTGCTATTTCAGCTGGTATGTCAAGATATCGATGATACTAATGATGATGATTCAGTTGAAGATCAAGCTGAACAAGACGAATTATTGATAGAATATGCTGGTGAAGTTTTACCCAAATTAGGAAAAAATATGAAACCAGATGACTTTCTAGTATTATTCAATAGAATATTGCCTCATATCTTAAACAGAACGGTAAACTTATTAACATTTCGTTTATGAAATTTATTTAGACATGCAATGTTACAATAAACATCTTGAATTGTTTCTACATTTACTAGTCCCCATTTTTAAAGGAAGATTTTAATTGGAATAATTGACCTCAAAAAAATTTTGAGTTATTCATCTAGGTTAATTTTCTTATAAACCTGAATTATATTAATTTAATTATACTATTTAGAGATATCATTCTAAAAATATTTGTTGAAAGAAACTTTTGTAAAACTCTTACTTAATATTTCAGAAAAAGTCTTGCAGTCTTTCCCAAAGATCATTTGCCATTGGAATGATAAGTGAATGTATGGCACCTCTACAACAGTATGTTGCAAATGTTGCTCCGCAACTGCTACCTCTATTGTTGCAATTCTCTAAAGATGCTAAAGAAGATGTCAGAAATAATGCTATATTTGGTGTAGGTGAAATGATGTTGCATGGGAAAGATCTTCTATATCCGTATCCTTTATCAATTGTAGAATAATTTGAGGAAAATTTATATTTAATTTTTAGTAATAATAGATACATTTTTTTCTTTCTCATTCTTTATTCTTCAATTTTTTTTAGAAAATGCTAATAAAATTTATCAGCAAATTGTAATATATTGCTCATTGCAGCAATTTTCCTACAATACTTGTTTTTTATAATTTTTATAATCAACTTTGGAGGTAAAGTTAAACCATGTTTCTGTAGAGAGATTATTCAAATTTGTACATTTTTTTTTTTTTTTTTCATACATATTATTGAAAAAAGAACACGCCTAATACATTCACAAAGTATGTTCTAAAGTCGTGGCCAATTAATCCAAACTTTTAATTTAGTTTGATAATTAAACTATTTTTCATAGGACTACAATACTTCAGTAAGTTCATTCAGTAGCAGGTACTCTTTAACCGGCCATACAATAATATACATGTTAATACTCAACAGGTGTCTTCCTTAATTAAAACAGTCATTATCCTGAGGTTCTTTCAACGCTAAGCTCTGCAGTATCTCAAGAAACACATGCTGGAACATTAGACAATATCTGTGGGGCACTTGCAAGAATGATATTCACTAATATGAATGGTGTTCCCCTTGAACAAGTATGTTTGCCATAATTTAATTAATAAATTACCATTATGCAATCCAAAAATAATCAAAATTTTAGGTTTTGCCCGTTTTTGTTCAATATCTACCATTGCGTCATGATTTTGAAGAAAATCTGGCTGTTTATAGATGCCTTCAAACATTGTTTACAGCCAAACACCCAAGTGCAATAGAACAAGTTGGGGCTATATTGAAAGCATCTGCAGAGACTATAAAAAAGAAGCAGTGGAGTAATGATGGTAAATTCTCAAATATTTACTAGATTATACTTTGAAATATATATGTTTGTATTGCAATTAATTTATTATAAGTTACTTTGCTTAAGATTTGAGCAGTTTATTCTTGAATATAGACATTCACTATTATTAAATAGTGAATAAAGCTATATTAATGACTGATATTGAATTCGTTCAACACAAATAAGTTTCTAGTGAACATTTATTGGATTTTTTTTAACTTTCTCTCCAGAAACAATGGAACTAGTTATTAATGTGACAAGGGCTTTGATACAAGAATATCCAGAACAATATCAGGCCACTTTACCGTACTTGGGTGAAGACCTAGCTGACATAATGAAGCAATTATAAATCCATATAACATACAATTAGGTGTTAAATGCACATCTATGATATATCAATATATTTATTAATAATTAACTATATTAGTTAAGTTGTTATCTAAATAAAGTATTTGTATATTGTTAATAAGTTTGTTTTAATGCAGTAATTAAAATTAAAATTCACAAGAACATAATATAAAAAATGATTAGCTTCTTAAAATTACTTAACAAAATTTAATTAAAGGAGAAAAAATTTTTTTTTATAAATATTTAAACTGGAAAAAACTTTTGTTTTATTGTTTTGAGTTGTTTTATAAAAATAAAATGTGCATATATTCTATTTAATTGTGAAAATATTACCGTTTTGTAAATCTCATAATAAATAATCTAACTATTCGGTTGAATATATGAACTGTGAATTCAAGATGGAACTAAAATATTCGAATAGTTATAGTTAATTTCTTTTAACAAATACATTTTTGACAAAAAAAACTTTAACTCTACTTCTAATCTATCATACTTCTTCTTGATGAAATGCATGAATTGAAGCGATGTAATGTAAACTCATTAACACGTAGGGTGATTTATAGCAGACACATAAAAATGGAAAATAATATTTTTTATATATGTTTAACGTTAGAAAGGTTTCTGAACATTTTACATAACATTAGGAACATTTTGGCATACCTTAGAGAAAATGGATTTCGAGAGCACGTGATCAACCGATTTGAATAATTCAACAAACATTCGATGTTTTAGGAAGTTTCAGTAATTCCTGAAGCCACGATTCCATGCACCATTAGTTTGATTATTAAATTCTAGTTTATAATTATTTCATCAATCTTTTTAGATTACACTTTGATACATTTTGGAGGCATTTTGGTCTAATGTTGGAGGCTTGTGTCTAATCTTTATTCTAATGATAAGTGAATCTATGCTTACTTTCATTTACTCGTTATTTGTTGCCAACGTGCCGAACTAAAATAACACTAAAATTTATTTTTCTTATGTTGTCAGTAGTAGCAATTAATGTCTCTTCAGTTCCATGAAGTTCATAATTCTTAGTGTTCAATGCTAGTAGGTAGAATTTTGTAAATTAATCATTTTGTTATATATTTTATACGTAGTTTCTTAAAATATAATATTTTTATAATGCGTGTACTCAATTAATCATTCAAGAACTTTATTCGTTCGATTGATATAAGTGCAAAAGTGATAATATAATATTAAAATGTCTGAGATTAATATCGAGCAGGAATATCATGAAATAAATAATAAACGTGCTTGGCTGTCCGTCTATCAGGTAAAATCTAATTACTATTTATGTGGCAATGAATATCATATCGTTATGTCGATAACAGTATCAGATATTGTTAAAAGATATTTTTTTCAATTTTTTTTTGCGTCATAAAGTAAATATTGAAGTCAATGTCGTGTGACATCCATTTGCTCATATTATTTATTAACTTTCATTAGAGCATTTTAGCAAAATAATGTTAAATTAGGATTTAATTCGATTGCATTTTGTGTGTGTAAAATTATTCATGTCGCTGTCAATTATCAATCTCTTGATTACTTTCAAGCATATATTTCCCGTCGTTAAAAATTCTATTTATTCTTGGCAATTATTTTCTATAGAATTAATTTGCTTATTTACAGTTGATATAAACGATAAAACACAAATATTTTGAGATGATGTGTTTCTTTACACAAAATTTATTTAAGTTTAATCTTATACAACAATAAAAAATATGTTCTAAATATTTTAAAATATTTCAAGCATGTTTTTGAATAAGTTTGAAATGACTTTATTGATCCATTACTAGATATGTTTTCGAAGTTCAAATTGACATGAAAAGTTTCACATCCATTTTCTGTTGTACATACCATGAAACTTGTGCTTGAAATATGCATTTATTTTATTATTGTATATGATGATTTGTTGAATGTGAATGAATTTGTTTTCTTATAGATTTTTTAATACAAATTAAAATTGGTATTCTTTCACCTAAGATCAGTTCTATAATAAACAAGAATTAGTATTAAATTTTATAAAATCTAATTTTAGGCGTTGGGAGAATCTGCTCTCAGAAATAGATATAGGGATGTAAATCCTTATGACCATTCAAGAGTCATACTAAATAGAGGGGACACAGATTATATAAATGCTAATATAGTGAAGGTAAGGAATTTTTGATAAAAGAGAATTTATTGTAGTAGTAATAGTAATGTTTCGTAATAACATTCATATTGTACTTATGCATTTATTTGATTGTATTTTATTTATCAAGGAAGTTATAATTTACATTAAATATTTATGAGAAAAGTGATTACTGCTGCACTAATTCTATTTAAAATTTATTTCAGCATGATGGTGCTAAACGTAGTTATATTCTTACACAAGGACCCCTACCAAATACAGTTGGTCATTTTTGGCTTATGGTTTGGGAACAAAATACCAAAGCAATCATTATGTTAAATAAAATAGTTGAAAAAAATGTTGCAAAGTGCCATATGTACTGGCCAAGTAAAACTGGACCTGAAAACGCTTTAACAATGGATGATGTTAACTTGAAATTGGAATATGTTCAGCAGGAAGATTGCACATACTATACAAAGAGAATATTTAAGTAAGTTGTTACATAAATTTGCATTGCTCATTTTAATGATCATATCTTAAGGGAAATTTATATTTATTTTAATTTAGATTAACCGATCTAGAAAGTGATATATCTCGCAACATTTTACACTTTCATTATACCACTTGGCCAGATTTTGGAGTCCCTAGTTCTCCAAAGGCATTTTTAGAGTTTTTAAAAAGTGTAAGAGAGTCAGGGGCCCTTGATGATCCTGCTTGTCCTCCAGTAATTCACTGTAGTGCAGGCATTGGCAGGTCAGGGACATTCTGTCTAGTGGATGTGTGCCTGGTTCTGGTAAGTGTACATTACTGACTTTTTTCATGATAGATTTCAAACAACATTTTTTTTGTATTCATTACCTTCATATTATTGGTTTCATGTTTTTTAAAATCTTATAAAATATTAAATGCCAGATATATTTTCATCATTTAGATAAAGGCTTAGATGTTTAATTAAAATAACATTTTTTTAACAGTTAATAATAAGACACTAATTACAATATTCATACTAATTAATCTTTGCATATACATGTCATTATTGATTTAGTATAATATTAAATTAAGTCCACTAAAAAAATCAGTACCTGTATATAATATTCTGAATTAGTTTAAACATTTCAAAAATTAATGCACAATGTTTATAAACTAAACCATTTTTTTATATTTATCTTATCTTTAGCTTTACATTTCCTTTTATGGGAAAGTAGTGATAGTAATTATGCATTGTTTATAATTATCAGATTGAGCAAAATGATAACAGCACCGACTTAAATGTTCAAGAGATTTTGCTGGGCTTACGACATTACAGAACTGGACTCATTCAGACAGCTGATCAACTTAGATTTTCATATGAAGCGATAATCGATGCAGTAAGGAAATTGCGCGGCGAGGATCCGGTGAGTGGGAGGTACATCGGATGACAAACAATCAAATGAATTTTTTTTTCAAACGGGTTGCAATAAAATAGAGTAATTGCTGATTGCCCTAAAACATATTACAAATGAAAATTAATCTTTTACTAATGAAACATATCTTACAATTTTTTAATTGCTCAATGGCCTGCGGTCAAAATTGTTTTACTGGGAGTTTTTGTTCATCAAATGTAATAGCACACTATCAAAAGTCAGTAATAACTCTTATACTTGTTGTTAATTTTTCTAAAAATCTATTGAATTGAAGCATGGCATTAATATTGAATTATTTCAATTAATGTGCGTTTCTTAGACAAAACAGTTAATTTTCAGTTGTGCAGATTATAATTGCATGAAATCAAACATAATTTTGCATGACATTTGGGAGTAACTATAATTAGAATTTTTATCTAGAATAATATTTTAATGAATGCTAACTAATATTGAGAATTACCATCCACAAAAAGTGAAATCTTTTAGTCATTTAATTTCTTATATAAAACTTTTTATTTGAAGTTAGTGGTATGTTTTTTTTCATGTTATGTTGATAAAATCTTTTCTCATATTACATTTTGAGAATTTATTAAAGTTTAGATGGAAATGTATAACTGCATAATTTGTCATTATTATACAACTATGAACTAATTGCTAGGTTAAAATAAAATACTTTCATAAAAAAATCCTGTTCAAAGCATTTTTCAAAGAAATTTTTTAAAATATGTAAGTTTCTTGATTATAATATTTTGCTTTTAAATTCAGTTAACCTGCAACACGCTTCATTTTTGTGTTTATCATAATTTGTGGATTGTAAATCTCAGCTCGAGAATCTTGATTAATTTTGAAGTACTATTTTCTTTTCAACTTTTCTAAATTTCACTAATTTTACACAAAATACTTATTTTGGGCAAGAATTGTTAATGAGTTTAGTTTAATTGCATTTAAAATATTTTTTAATATTAAATACAATTTTGTGACATGTTCTTAGCAGAGAAAATATTTTTTAGTTCATTGACTTTTTTCTTGTTCTGCGTGAAAATTAGCAAAAAAAATTACAATGTGCTATTTACTATTACATGTATTCAAAGCAATGAAAATACGATCTATAAACGTGAAGTATTTTTTAAATGTGATATATTCAGTGTATGATAAGAATAACTCCCTTCTGACCACATTTAAATAGTTTCGCTATTATATGTTCTGGATTTCCTATTACATATCTATACAAAGAGCTTGTCCACATCTTCTTTATATATAATGTGCTGTGATATTTTAATTTATATATTTATCACATTGTGCCTCATAATAACTTATTATAATTTTTCCCCTTGATAATAAGTATAATATAGTTTCATCGTAAAGTGTTATGATTTATCTTGAATATTAGATCTTATTTATCTTAATATGGTTATAGGGATCTCGTTACTAAGGAGCTTAAAACTATTTGTAAAACTAATGTCTAGTCCTAATCTGCGATAAATCTTAGCAATTTAAACAATAAGCACTATTACTTTTTCTGCACTACAATATTATTGATGTTTGCAGCATAAGAGAAGCCAAAAAATGTTTTAACAGAACCAAAAAATGTAAATAAATTTATTACGAATAATTTATTGAAATTGTTATGTAGTAACTATTTTTGTGCATGATCTGCTGTAAATAAAGATTATTGTATATACTATCTATTTTATTTATCTAACATAGCAATACGTATTAATAATCTAACATCGCGATTTATGGGAATTATATTAGATATTAAATGCGTAGTTTCTCCTTTCGTTTTTTTATTCTCCTATATTTTTCAAATATAATCTTACGGCATGTATTTTATTTGTTCTTTCCTTAATATTATAATCATTTTTGTATTATACACTCAATATGATACAATTTATTGTATTTACTATTACTGTAAAATATTAAAACATATTTTACTAGTAAGGAATTGCTATTCTTTTCAACTTTATTTTATGTTGTTACAAACTCTATTCTTAACATTTTGGGATGTCCTTAATTATTTTCTTTAGGTTTATATATACAACTTTATTCTACTCATGAGCTAACTTAAGGCGTAATTAGAAATAACACATCCTAAAAATGTGTTAACAATAATATTTTTAGTACATACTCAGGCAGCATTTTATCTATTTTTATTTGGAATACTATATTTTCAATTTAATGATCCTGTAAGCACCTTTTTATTAAACGTCGTTTGATTTATTTTTGTCTTTAAACTTTTAAGTTTAACTTGTTTGATTTCGAATTCATAGATTACTCTAAAAAAAATTTACAATAAAATCAATATTTTTAGTTGTGTAGAACGTGAAAATAATGACAAAATTCTTTCAATGAGTGCGTTCTGTGGTACGGCCTTGATCTCGCGAGTCAATCGTGTAGGTGCTTTTAATGTAATTAAATTTTGTTTTCTAAATTGTAAATATATTAAAATATAAAGTTTTTATTGCAAATACTTTTAATAATTTTAAATTTAAATTTTGATTTTCAAATTTAATATACAATCATTTTATATTAAAAACTTGAATAACACAAATTTGCTGATACCTGTAATTAATAATTAACATATTGGATATAGGACGATATTAATATTAGAATAATTACTAACTGGGATTTTTTTTATTTCCTGCTTAAAAATGCAAACCTTTTTTCTGGTACAATAAATAATTAAAATAATCTTGGAAGCTATTCTGTGATTCAACTCTGTAGGTGGTCTGTTTGGAAGGCTGAGATATTTGTGCTGCATAACTTTACTTTTTAGACACGATTTTTTTTCAATATAATCTTATACAATATGCCAAGTTTATAATGTTATAATTAGTTTATTCAATTAGTTTGTAATTATATTTTTAAAAATTGATATATTTAATCCTGTAAGGCATTTTATTATATATCAATTAAATTGTGGTTATTTAGTTCAAATTTCCTCCAATAATTCAAACAAAACTTTTATCTATTTTTTTGTCCTAATATTGTTGTAGTTATTTCAAAATAAAATAAAATTTCAAATTCTTCACTGCGCGTTCTATTGAATTTTTAGTAACAACTTATGAACAAATATTAATGTTTCTAATGTAATATTTCTCGAGGACATATTTATTATTCTATATTGTTTTTCAGAACTCTGATTACGAAGAAGTCCCTGCTGCATCAGATTACCCATCGAACGATCGCAAAAAAGCGTCGTCCGAGTCTGACGGCAGCAGCAGCAGCGATGACGAGCAGCCCCCTCCTCTGCCCCCGCCCCGAGGGGAGAGTCTCCATCAGCAGCAGCTCAACGGACAGCGGTCCCTCAGCCAGCTTTCTGCTCGAGAAATTGCAGAAAGATTTATAACAGAAGCTTTCTCTGACCAACTCAAAGACGCCTCCGAATACCTGATAAACTTTGAGGGTATGAACTGATTTCTTATTCATTAGTTAAATTATGATCGAACTTGTCATCTGAAATTTAGTAGTCAAAAATAAATTTGTCATAATAAATTAATTGAAAACATATGTTTTAAATCCTGTCCAATTTATAAGAAATCTTCATTTTGCTTTTCTTCACCATCGTAAAATACGAATGCTTGATATTTTTAATAGAAACTATGTTGAAAGTTCTATTTAATGCAATTAAGAACTTTTTTTTATTCACTTATAGGCAAAGGTTCACCAGGCGATAAGTTTTCAGGAAAACCATTGCCCGCTATACCTATCAGTGAAAGCATGGATGAGTTGATGATCGATTCTAAATATTTTGCTAAAGACAACCCCAATGAAGAAAACTGCCCTATTGGAAAACCTCTACCGCTTCCGCCTAGACTCTCACCAACTGATGATGAAGAATACATAATAATGAATGGACAACCTATTATTTCTAAAATTGAATTGAATGAATCTGAAAAAGATGTTATAGCTATGAATAATTGCAATAAGATAATCACAGAAGATACTTCTGATAAGTTGATTGAAGCTATGGATGATGTGAGCGACATTGTGAAATTAGATAAAAGTCCATTATGCAGTCCTGATAGTGAAACAGATAAGTACGTATTTTTAACTTCCCGAAGGAGAAGCTTATGTTTTCATCAAAAAATCCGATTCGCTAATTTTATGTTTTCTCGACGTTTCAAGCCATTCTGAATCGAATGAGACCAAATTTGGAAAAAGTATGTGTGTGTGTGTATGTGTGAACAGATTTTTTGCCGTAAATCGACGTTTTCTCGAAAACGGCTGGGCCGATTTCAAAAATTTAAAAGCCATTCGATGTATCTCGACGAGAACTACTGTTTGTCGTTTCTTTATAAATCGCAGAAAAGTGAAAAATTTTTCGTCTACGTTTTAGCCCTCAATTCTGAATCGATTTTGAAAATTCAAAAACCGTTCTAAAGACATTGGTTGGGAATCGTGCTGATTAGTTTTTGGTAGAGATCGGCCGGGCCGTTTTCTTGTAATAAAGTTTAAAAAAAAAAAAAAATCGACGATTTTTATGATTATTTTTTTGACGGTAGATACCATAGTCTTCTAGATTATACTAAAATATTACGGCCCTACGACAGCTGGTTCAGTTTTAAAAATTCGTCAAAGTTTGCAAAAATTGGTATCGTTTTTTTGGCATTTGTCAAAATTAGACCTTTGATCGACGTTTTCTCAAAAACGCCTGAACCGATTTTAGAAATTTAAAAGCCGTTTGATGTACTTCGGTGAGAACTATCGTTTGTCAGGTTTGTGCGACGATCTGCCAAGCCGTTTCTTTGCAATTTGAAAAAAAGTGTTAAACTTTTCGTCCTCATTTAAGCTTATCCTACCGAACCGATTTTTAAAAAATCAAAAACTGTTCGAAAGATATTAGTTGGGAATGGTACTGATTAATTTTAGGTGAAAATCTACCGAGCCGTTTTCTTGTAATGAACTGTTGAAAAAAAAATTTAAGCCGATTTTCATGGAACTTTTTTTGGCGATATACATCATGGTCTTACAGGAACTTAATGTAATATTACGGCCTTACGACAAGTAGTTTAATTTTAAAAATTCGTCAAACTTTGCTAAAATTACTATCATTTTTTTTAAAGTAGGATTGATGAAGTATATTATTTACACTTTTTTTTTGATTAAGTCGATTATTTACACATATCAGGAAGTTCATGTAACGATGATGAACATTGTATTTAATGTTCGAATGCTTTTTTTCAGCTATTTTTTTCAGAAGTGAAATTCATGCAGCTACTATGATTATTATAAAATTACTATCCTTTTAATATTAACTATGAATAAGCTTGACAAGAGCCTGAAATAATATCTATTATTATTGATTACGGCTTGCTTATGAATAAATAAATAAATAAAAATAAAAATAAATATGGTACTACCAGAAAAATGACAAAAGGTGTTTGACCAGAAGGGTCAATAAATAATTTAATAATGTATTTGTTGACATGACATTTTTGCCTAAAAGAAACGAAATTAATTTCCGAACAGTCCAATACATAAACATTTATGTCAATAAACACATTAATATTGGCACTAATTGCTTTCGTTTGCTTCAGATCATCCCTGAGACGTCGGGTTCGTCTTGAGAGACAAACCGTGCTGGCGGAAAAGGTTCGCGACATGAAGCGCAAGCAGCAGGAGTCTGAGCGCAGGGCTAACAGCAAAAGGTTTTTTTTGCCTATAGGCTTAGGACTCGGCGGTTTGTGTTTACTAGGCGGTGCTTTATATTATTATTTTAGGACTGTTTAATTATTCTTAACATTTATATAATCGTTCATATTTTGACGATATTTATTTCTGGATGAGATCACTATCTCACATATATACATATATTTACATAATAGTTACAAGGATGTCTATGTTTAACAGTTTAATCACTTATTTAATCGCACCGATCACGCTATGAAATTTCTTTAAATTTTATTGATATGTTTTATAAAATAAAGATTTATAGAGTAGGAAATATGCATGATTTTATATATGTTTAATTGAATTGAAAGTTAAAATTCAGTTCGAAGGCTTTATTTAAAATTTAAAATTTTAACGTAAGTTTTATTTTAGAAAATTATTAAAAAGTTTAAACCATGCATATTTTCTTTTAAAGCAACTATATTTAAGTAGTTAAACTTAGAATTATTCTTAAATACCTGCAAGTTGTTTGATATCTTTGGAATATAATTAACATTTATATTATTCAAATATCAGATTTTTGGAAGAGTTTTGATCCCTTGGGAGCAAGTGATGGAAGCAAGTGATATATTCAACATTTCGAATCCTGAAAAATATTTTTTTTAATTATACCAAACTTTATATATTGTTGCAATATTTGCATATTACGTGGATAAAAAGGCATTTTTAGAAAAAAATGGATTTATATTTGTTAAGATATGCTGTGAAAGATAGGATTAATAAACATTATATAAGTAATCTGTAAGTAAACAAAATTGAAAGTTAAGCATTGATACAACTTTTTGCTCCTCGACTGAGTGGATGTATGGTTGTTATGAAGAAGTTTTTATACATGTTGAAAATATGTCAATTTCAATATTTAGATATTTAGATGTCCGAATTTTTGTATACCCGAAATTTAGTAAGTTACGAGAACTGGAATAACTCACAAATAGTAATGAAGGATAGCAATATTCAAACCTAAGAGCCTAAAATAGTGCTTGTTGATGAAGACTGAAAGACACTTTCTTAGTGGTAATTAGTATTGAAGAAGTTGTTAATCAAAATCTGTTTGTCCAACATCTCTAAAATAGGCTCAACTTAATCAAATCAATGTATTAATAATAATAAAATTGGTACTCACATAAAGTTGTTTTTACATTTTTTTAAAATCTATAATCCCAGTCTGAAATAATTTGAATATGATTAATGTTTTTTTTCTTTATAATTCTCAGTTAAAAATAAAGTGAGATTTAAACAATGATGGTGGTTGATTCTTCAAAAAACACTTATTCTAGTTTTTATTATCAGGACGAGAACTAATGTAATAACGTGCTTGTTTAATTTAGTAAACATCAAAATAAATCAGATTTATATAAGTCAACACTTGAATTCCATATTTTTTGACAATGGAGATAATTTCAAATAATGTGATATTGAAAATGATTCAATTGTCTATTTGGCGGATGTAAAATATTGTAGTTTTATCTTTTGTTTTTATATATCTGTAGCAAAATTTATATATATATTATATTTTTTTAGATTTGAAGGGGATTTAAATGAGTTGCGGCAAAGGATTTACATACATATTATCTTTTGCGTTCTTTAGATAAGGTATTAATTATTTAGTATTTTTAGTTATAATCATTATTTGGAAATGATAGAATCATTATTTGCAAAGCGAATAAAAATCTCAGCTAAAACTCACATTTAAGTATATGTAATGCAATCAGTTTTGTCTATAGATTATTAAGATTTTGGTAAAATGGATGGTGCGGTTGTAACACTGAGCAAGGAGATGAATCAACCTTTGAAAAAATGGACCCGTAAAATTGGCAATGCGACTTTATATAAAGAGGATGAAAGTAAAATATTCTTGCATTTGATAAAAGTTTTATAAAATACTAAAAATTAACTATTTTTTTCAAGTGCCTAAGGATTTACAATATAAGCATACGCTATCATAATTTGACAAACATATATTGTGTTCTATCTTATATTTATATAATATTAAATAATTTACAGAGAAAATTGTTAGTTCTGATACTAGCAGCGGACAAGCTTCTTCTGGTGGTGGTTGGGAAGCAGATAATGAAGACGCAAGTGGAATGCGAAGGAAAAAAGTTGTAATTATAAATTTCAATGTATATAACTGAAAAATTAACATACATATTTTTTCGTAGAGAGCGCTGTACACTGGTTATAAAATCAATAACATTCAAACAGGTGAAAGTGATATTCCCAATATAGCAGATGAATCTGAGCCAGATTTTATGGCCGTTTTGGACCAACTAAGTGATACTTCTTTCTCTTCACGAAATGTGTTTTTAACCGCTTTCAAATCGGATACAATTTCGAGAAGTACCGAAATTGCAGAAAAAAGACTTTTGGTTCTAGACGATATATTGAGAGATTTAGAATTATATTTTTTAAGATCTTTAGCATCATTAAAATTTGATGGTGTACGCAAATTAAGGCTTACAATAGGAAATTATAATCATATTGAAAAAACAATATTAAAATTTAGGAAATATATGCGTCTGCAGGAGTCATGCATCAAAAACATGAATGATCAATCTTCGCAAAAAGTAGATTCCGAACACAACACACTCGCAGATAGTTTAAAGTTGTTGCAATCATCAATAAAAAATGTATCCAACTATTACCTTACGTTTAGAACCTATCAAAGAGCTTTATTCAATGGAAGAATCATTTTACATTTATTTGACTTGGATGAATTGCAAAGTAATGATAGAATGAAATTATTTGAAAACCAAATGCATCATATGAGTAAAGCGTTTGATAGAATATTAAATTCGTATCGATCGTGTACCTTCCGTTGCACGAGTATCTGCGACCAGGTATTTAACGATTGCGATCTATTTTCAAATCAAATTCATAACAACATGAAACAATGTAATGAGAAAATGAGCAACTGGCAGGATTGTTTGAAAGAGATCGAAAACCGTAATGAAAAATTAAAGTTTGACAATTTTTCTTTACAATCCCGCATACATGATCTAGAAGAAATACTGGAGACCAAAGAGAAGCACTTCCATGATCAAGAGCAAACTTGGTTACGAAGAATTAATGAAATGTCATCTGCCATAATGTCAGCTCTGCAAGAAAACGAAGAACTAAGAAAATCGGCAGATGTTTCTAAAAAGAATATTGAAGAACTTAATGCAAATATAAATATAAAAGAGAATAATGTAGATTTAAAAGATCATTGTAAATCTCTTAAGAAGAAATTGAAAGATTTGAACAAAGAGAATGCTGACATAACAGCAACGATCAAAGAATATAAAGAAATGGTTGACACAATTAAATCGGAAAAGTATAGTTTAATGAGCGATAAAGATATTTTGGAAAAGAAAATAGAACTGTTAGAATCTCAAATAAAACAATTTGAATCCTCAGGCACAAATCGCCTAAATATAAATGGAATATATTTTAGATCAAATATATTTGCTAAAATAACAAATAGAATTAGCAAAAAACAGTCGGCTTGTGGTATAAGAAAAAAGATGAATATCTGCAGTACGGACAAACTCAGCTTTCATAAAGCCAAAATAACTATGAGTAACGCTAAAACTTCTAAAATTTCAAAATATTGCTCAAATGAGTCGCAGGAAAGAATTTCAACTAAATCATGTGTAAGTGTAAGTAATAAACATGAGCCATTTTCAAAAGTATTCAGGGAGGAAACAGATTCCAAGCTTATATTCCAACATTATGCGAACAAACATTTTGAGAATTGTAAAAGCGAATTTATGTTACAAAATACGATACGTGATGACAAAAATTATCAAACCAGTTTTAATAATGAAATATTAATAAAGCAATCGGTAGCTTGTTATACTGATGGCACATTAAAGCAAGTTGAATCAGATCAGAATACCAAGAAAAAACTTCGACTAGGCAGATCAAATTCTGACTTGTCTCATACATTTGCTAATGCCTTTGTTATGTTTGAAAATAATAGCGATAGAAATATGCCAGCAGACAAACCGAAATTAGCAGTATTATCAAACTCTAAAGATAACATATCTTTTACTTGTAAACATGTTAATTGCAAAAGTTTGTTCTACAAACTGCAAGAAGCTGAAAAGAAATTAGAAGAGAAAAATAGATCTTGTAATAAACTTAAATCTCTTATTACAAGTTTGAAAAGAAAATATCAATCAGAAAATCAGCGATATGTTTCATTGCAACAACGATATGAAAAGATATTGCAGGAAAAAGCGCTTTTGAGTTACCAATGCAAAAGCCAGTATGAAGAATACGATTCTGAATGCGCAATTAAGTATATCGATTTTGATGGATTTATAGAAATGAAGAATTTTAAAGATGATATAATTGAAGAACTGAAAAATGAAATTAAAACTTTAGATGACGAATTTCAACATCTGCTTTCAAATTACGAGCAAGTCAATGGTACTATTTCTAATTACAATATTCAAATTAGAGCATCAACCGACAGTATTGCTAAAACTCAAACGGACAATATTAGATTACAAAATGAATTGTTTCAAGCAGAACGAGAACTAAGTCGCATTAGTGGCTTACTCAAAGTAAAGATAAGAGAGAACGATGAACTACAAAAACACTATGAGGAAATAGTGTGGCTTGCCAAAGATCATGAAATTAATTGCATTGAAAGTGATAGCCAAATTTTTGCATCTGACTACTACAACGTAGATCTTAGAAGTTTAATCTTAAATAATAGCATATTATGCAAAAAATTACTGATGATGTTAGATGAATCGAAAAATATCGACGACATTAATTCATACCAAAATTGCCTAGAAAAAAGATCTGCACAGCATTTATCGGAACAAACTGATGAAACGATATCGGAACAATTATTGGAAGTAGATGAAGTACAAGGACAAGATCAAATAAATAACATTGTCGATTGTGTTCACACAAATAGAGACTATTTTGTGCCCGCTATGCAAATAAATGAATTAAATGGAGTTTTGGTCAAATTTAATGCCGGAATATCTGAACTCAAGAGTTACATAGGATCAAGAATGCATAAACATTCTGAAGGATACAAGAAAATGTTATTATATTTTATAATGTTCTGTATGAACCATTTCACATTGAAATCCAAAAACGCAGAACTTGTGGACAAAGTGAAAAAAATGGAGTCTCTATATAAAGCTCCAAAAATTAATATTTCAAAAGACATTGAAGCTTGCAAAAACGATCTAAAAGAACAAATTACGACTCTTACTTTAGAAATAAGAAAAATTGGCCATCGCTCGAATGGTATTTACCA